CTAGACAACCGCTGGATTAATGTAATCAACCCCGCTGTGAATTTAAAAAAGTCTTCAGGAGGTTCCACGTCCAGTAGTGCCATAGAATATAGCCTGGCCCGCGAGCCCCCTAGAGAATCCTCTTTGGTCAAATCTGTCAACTGTCAAATCTGTCCGGTTGTTTCTTTCGTTATGACGGTAACCGCCTTATCTGGTCAGGTTGTGACGCTCCTCTGCGGTCTCTTGGGCCTCTATGTCTTCAGGATCATCACGACGTACCTTAAGTTGATGCAGTTCCGGGGACCTCCGGGGACCGGCATCTCGAACTGGCCTCATAGTATGGCGATGCTTCGGGGCAATTGCCACGAGTGGTACGCAGAAGTCAACAACAAACATGGTGCGACTAGGCATCCCTTTTGCTTTGCATCTCTACCAGGGTGCCATATCTACTATAGCTAACATGTTCGACTTGGGCCAGGTCCGATCGCCCGTGTCGCACCTCAAGTGCTGATCACGTCGTCACCCGAAGTTTGGATGCATGTAAACAACAAGCCTGGCTACAAGCGCTCTGATTGGTACTACAAAGCGGCACGAATCGAGTACCGGAGGGACAATGTCTTCAGTCAGACTGATAACGCGAAACACGCGGAACGGAGGAAGCAGATGGCTCCAGGGGTATGATAACTGCCCCGTATTTCTCTCCGAGTCTCTCCACCCATTCATACCGGCATAGGCTGCTAATAAAGTATTTTTATAAAAGTACTCCGGAAGGGAGAATATCCAGCTCGAGGGGTCTATAAATGAACGACTTCAAGATTTCTTGAACCTCATACGGTCCAAATATATCTCGTCCGACCGCCATGTTGTCCCCATGGACCTTGCGAAAAAGGTTCAATATTTCACACTCGACGTTATTAGCAGCGTGGGCCTTGGCAAGGCGTTCGGTATGTTGCGTAGTGACCATGACGTGGACGACTACCTGCAATCCAGCGAGGAGGGACTTGCTATCGGCAATACCGCCCTTGCTATAGGCTTCAGCTGGATCACTCAAATGCCCTTCATCGGCAGTTTTATTGCACCTTCGCCTAAGGATAACAACGGCTTCGGTAAGATGATGGCCACATGCTTCCGCCTTGTCGAAGAGCGCGCTGCGGGCTCCACAAACGAAAAATCCGATATGTTAGCCTCGTTCATGCGCCACGGTTTAGCAGGCGACGAATTGCGCACTGAGGCCCTAGAGCAAATCATTGCGGGCTCTGACACTACTGCTAGCGCCATCCGTGGCACCCTTCTGTACCTCATGACGAATCCCCGTGTCTACCTCAAGCTACAGCGCGAGATTGACGATGCCGCGCGCAGTGGGCGTGCTCCGAGCAAGGACGAAGGTCTTATTACTGCCGCCCAAGCTAGAAATCTTCCGTACCTCCAGGCCGTGATCCGTGAAGGTCTGCGAGTCTGTCCGCCTGTAACGAACATCTTCCCGCGTGATATCCCCCCAGGTGGTGACACTATTATCGTCGACGGCGAGGGCGTATTCTTACCGGGCGGCGCCTGCATCGGGTATTCGGCATGCGCTATGCACCAGAGCGAGAAGATCTATGGCCAAGATGCAGAGGCTTTCCGACCCGAGCGGTGGCTCGAGTCGGACCCTGCCAAGTTGGCTGTCATGGTTCGGACCAACGACCTCATATTCGGTCATGGCAAATTCCAGTGTTTAGGGAAGACAGTGGCCCAGATTGAGATCGGAAAGACGATATTCGAGGTGAGTAGAAACAGCTCCATATGCCTGCTTTCGTCCTCTTTTCTCCTTGATGACACGCCAACTGATCACCGACCGGACACAGCTGTTGCGTAACTTCGAGCTGGCACTTATCAGTCCTACGCGTCCCTGGGATGCACGAAACTACCTTGGGCTTTTCGCAATTTCAAATATGTGGGTGCAAGTGATGGAGCGAGTGCCCTGTTCTCCTTGAACGGGTCGAGAACAGTTCTAGTATCTGTACTATAAGCGGCAGACCTGTGAATCACAGGATGCGGTTAGTTTTAATTTTTATGATTTAGCCCTATAATACACTCTTGTCACCTCTCCCTCCGCCGCCTCGACTTAAAAAACCCGACCTCGCACCTCCGACCTCTTTGCCTCGTTCTCCTCCCTTGCACAAGGCCCTTCCGTAGAAAAGTAACGTGCAATAACTAATAGCAGCAAGCTACCAACTATTCACTAGCAGATCCAAGACCTAGGTACCACTGGTACATTTGAAGTTTCCCCAATTATTCTTACTAAACTGATATTATCCAAGTTATGTTGAGGACACGAAGGCTGCCCCGATAGTTCTGTAATAGATTGCTTAAGCTCGCTTCGTTGATTTTTGATTTCGTCACCCCTTTCAGCGTGAGTTTCTGCAACTGCGAAGTCGCGTCAAGGGAGGAAAGGCGTTCAATAAGTCCGCGTGCTGCCCAACCGTCATCGAATACGATTGTCAACATACGCAGGTCAGTGGCATGTCGCACTATTGGGTCCATCCAGACAACAATCCCAATTTTTTCTATCGTATGCATAAAACTGCCTCACTTCTCGTTCACTTTCAATCGTGAAGCTCGTGAAACTTCCACTCGTGCTTTTGTAGAACGCTCGTCCGCAGATACACTAGGATCCGTAGACACTTACTGAATAGTCAGTCGTGATACCTTCATGGAACTTGTCTTGAGAAATAACTATGTAAATGATTCGAACTCCCCTCCTATTCCCATTAGCAGATCAATAAATTTCCTTTCCTCAGACTGAGATTTCTTTGACTATTCAGGACCCAACATAGGCTTCTCATATGTCTTCCCCTAGTATAGGATAGTTAGATAATTCTAGGGAAATAGCTAAACTAAGAAAAAGACGCATGTTTGGCCAATTCGCGCTGTGTCCCATGTTCCAGAGTGCTCTCATCCATCTGAAGATATGCATTTTGATCAGATCTCCTTTCCAGATCTTCAGGCACAGGTGTTATTTAAAGAAGCTGGTATGCTTTCGAGGCGCGCATTTCGTAGCTTCAGGTCTGTCTCTGTCCAACGGAATGGGTTCGTCTCCGTTGAAATTCACGTCTGCGACGTTCCATCGGGGTGAGCCTGTCGAAATTAGATTGATAAAGACCACCCGATAGAAAAGTAGTCGGTCATGGACGGTCATGTCTGGTGTGAAGTTGAACAAATCTCCGGTATATACTCCCACGGGGAGACCAAGGTGCTCCTTTCCTGGTCCGACGGATTCGTGCTGCTGTAGAGAGCCTATTAAATCGATGTAGCTGACATGAGCGGCTGGATCGTCGAACGATGGCTCTTCATTCGTTGCGATAGACATTGAAGGTTTTGGTAACTCCTCTTCTGAGAACGAATTGCCTCTTCGCTTCCTCCGTGATGTGATGTTTCTCGTCGCTCTTTCATCGGATCCTCATAACCTGCTTCCAGTTGATCTTCTGAAATCCATATTCTTGTGGCGATGTTCAGACAGGGCCCACCAGGGCACCTTTTGACGAGGAACGACATGCTTTCTCTTGTTGAACCCCTCCTTCAGAGGGAACCGGATGAGTTGTCGTTTTGCCTTCCAGGCCAGAAGGAGGTTCTTGATGAATGCAAGGGACAGGATAGATAGAAATGGTTGTGTTTTACTTTCGACATGATGAGTAAGACGAATAGTTATATGAATGTGATGGATAGACATAAGACTTAAGTAAGAGAATTGCGACCATAAAGAATAATCCTTTGTTTGACTTCCTCGTTCACTTCCCCTCCATTTGTTCCATGCCTCTGTTTACCGGTAATTTCGGTGTTTGCCCACCTATTCCTCAGTCGGCAAAGCCGAGGGACCCATTCCCATTTCATCTCTTTGCATTGGTGTTTACTCCGTTCGAATCTCTCTTTCTCTCGATATCACTGTCGCCTCCGCACTTAGGTGTGGATGATCGTGACTCCGTTGCCACCGATTCCATCCGAGAGTCCGAGATGGTTATCCCTCGGAGCTCCTCAAACACTGCGTCGAAATGGGTCCGATCCGACCTTTCCGCCAAACTTCATGATGCGCAAAGGCCTCGGCCAGCTGCCAGGCGTTAAAGGTAGGTTGCGATTTCCTTTCTCTCGGACCAGAAGAATGATGCTCCATACACAGGGAGCAACAGTCGTCACGCTATAAAGGGATAGATCAATCCGAAGGAGTTAACCTAGTCAGCGTCTGCCCCCCCCCCCCTCTGGAAACACCACTCTGACAGACGAGATCCTAACCCACCTCTGTGTCTAGTGTCCAGACGTCTCTAGAGGGTGGGTGTACGTCCCAGAGATCGGGTAGTGCACACTCTACTCGGGAATCCCTCAGAAATGACCTCTTTAAGATGAAATCTGATGGATTGTGGAAGCAAAGAGATGGATCAAGGTTGCCCGGATTTTTCTAAGAAACTGTAGGTGGAAAGTACAGATAAATCCTAATCAAGGAGGACAACTAGAGCCCGCTTTCACCGAGCGATCTTTCTTCCGGCAAATGTTGATGTTAACTAATGAAAAAGGTAGCACATAAGAGAGAAAACCGGGAAGAACTGAGAAAAACAGCAAGAGATACCTCCGCGTAGCCCTGATTGATGTAGTCATTTTGCCTGAGCCAGCCATAGGCCGACGAAGCAAGGAGTTAAGGACGAACTTGTTGGCACATAGCTTCCAAGGACTGCATGCAGATGATAATATCCCCTTCGTGTTGATTTCGGGGTCTGCGGAAGATGCTTTCAAAGTTGAGCACCAAAGGTGCACCATGGATTTGCCCATCTCGGTACGTAACTCTCTGAGTTGGTCGGAAAGAGGTATCCATGCGATTTCGGGTCTCATACGGATTTGGGGAAGGTCCTTCGGACCATACCTCCACGTCTACTCGCCATGTTGGCTTGCGAGTAGTGGTGATGATAACGACGCACTTGGTGAGATGGTCAGAGTTACTATACCACCACTGAGCGTCCTTGCACAGCTGGGAGTAGAATTCTGATACGCCGACTTCAAGGGCCAGGGTAGGGAATCCCTCCCCCCCCGCCCATCCCATCAAAGATATCGGCTGGAGAGAGCCACCAGTCGGGTTTCTTAGCCACAGACACTCCTTGAGTCCTTGGAGAAGGGCGGGATACGAACGCCCCATTGTCATTGGAAAGGCCCATTAAGAACAGCTGGATAGCTATGGTTTGAGAGAAAACGCCAATAATTGAATCGTGTTGGTGGCCTGGCATAACTTTAAATAGTACTTCGCGGCGAAAATACGAGATTTTCAGTCGCACACCGGGAAAGAGCTCTTCATCATCCTTAATCTTGGAGAATAGTTTTTTTCCCGGGTCTTGCAGATATAGGAATTGGGATGACGGGGGGTTAGGGCTGGAAAGTTGATCTTTTAACTGGTTCAGTGCGGCTTTGAGCTGTCGGAACGATGGAGCATTGAGGACTCTCGCGTCTAGTGGAACAGAAAAGTCGTCGAGATCAACGCGGCGTGAATGGAGCTCTGACGGAATTGTTGAGTCTGTGGTGATGGGCTTGATAAAATGCGCCGAGTCAGAGCTGGAGTCAGAAGCAGCGTCGCGGCGACGGTCTGTATATTGAGGGGTGGGCGCTCTTTCATAGAATGGCATGCCTGCTCGGGAGGTAGTGAGAAGCTTGTCAGCCGACACTTCGGTGGCTTGAAGTCCGGTTGATGGGCTATCGGTGCGTTGAGGGGAGTGAGAAGTAGATGGGGTTTCAGCGAGTTTGGGGCGTGTCGACGTGGGTTCACGAGAGCCCATCGTGGCTTCCTTATTCGTGAGTCCTGGCTGAGAGGCCATTTTGAAAGTGCAACACGGGAAAGTTGATTGACCAGACAAAATAGAAGAAGGAAGCAAAGTGTCCAGTAAAAGTTCTAGGGAGGATGGATGGGAGATTTCCAATCTTGGAAGGTCATTATGTACCTATATGGGCATCGGGAGCTAACTACCTAGGTAACTACATAGTAGGGCCCTGGGTGACGTAACCCCGAATGAGAGGTACCACAATGTATGATAAATTTAGTGGTATTGAACTCTACAGTGACAGCGCCTTACTTAGACTTCCGCAAAGCCCACTAATGGGCCCGAACCTCGGGCCCAAAGCCCAACCCGCAGTGGGCTATGGGCCTAACCTTCAAAGCCCAGCCCAGCCCACAGCCCATTAATAGGGGCCTTATGGGCCCCTATTAAAGCCCATCGGTATCTAATAAAGTGGCCTCTATAATCGCTAGATTACAACCTTTCTACTGATTACGTAAAGTTTAAGTCTAGAGTATTAAATCATAGTAGCTATATTAGTATATATCTCTATTTTAAATAAGATTCGATAAGTAGAAGATAGGATATTGTAAAAAGTATTGATATTAATGTTTTGATATCAGATATATATTTCAGATCTCGACGGGAGTACCACGACTTTCTAGTGAACCTCTGTAATTTTTAAACTTTCTTCAAAAAACGTGTTTTTTCGCGTTTTTAAACGTGATATTAAGAACTAACTAATTATCAGCTCTAAATCATTTAAATAAATAGAATATTACCCTAGGGATAAGGCCTAGAAACAGGGGTAAAACGAAGCGTAATTTAAAAAATAGAAAATGGAGGTTCAACTTTACTTAGCACCTAAATTCTAGGCATGTTTGTATTGTTTGGGGCCCATTGGGCCCCCACGAAAGCCCACTAGGCTTCTACCCTAGGCCCATGGCCCACCGGTGGGCCTAAGGACCGGGCCCAAAACCCAGCCCATTTGCGGGTTGGGTTGGGTTGGGTTGGGCTTTGGGCTTTGTGGGCTTTGCGGAAGTCTAGCCTTACGTTGTACTCCGTAGAGACGTCTAGATACCTTAAGAGGTGGGTTAGGAATCCGCCTACCTAGATACTTGTGTATCTGTACTTTCCACAGTCTTTAGTAATTCAGACGACTTCCATTCCATCTCATTCATCTCGTCTTATGGTGTCAAGCCAGTTTATTTATTTATTTATTTATTTATTTTTTTTTCAAGGTTATACGTCAAAGCCCTTTTCCGTCTTTTTTTCTGCCGTCGACTATAACCTACGTTTCTGTCTTCTACGATTCGTCATATTTCATTAATCCTTTTTTTGTCGGTAAGGGTGATGTTCAGATATATTCTATTCTAAATTTATACGACCGTCCCCGTGCACTTCTAATACTTCAACTAGGCACGTCGTAGTTGAGAAGCATATTCAACACGGCTTTATCATGGAGCTCGACGACGCTCAGTATATACTTCTCAGGGATGCGAAAGAGACCAAAAGGTATGATCTTATTTTACCTTAGGTGCACGTGGGCTGTGTACGATGGCCTTTGTAAACGAATGGACACTGAGACAAGTTTTCAGGCTAAATTGGCAACACCAATTATTGTTTCAGGTGCTGGGGGAAAGACTTCTCCCGCCATCGATACAATCAGAGAAAATCCACAGTGTGGCTGATGTAGGGACAGGAACAGGGTATGCTTTCACTTGAAACAGACACCTAATACCCTGGTCTCACATCAACGCAGTATCTGGTTACAGAGCCTAGCAGAACAAGCAGCGCCACCACCGTCACTAGGTTATGCTCACCGTTATTATCACGGGTTTGATATTAACGATGCGCAATTTCCGCCAAATATTCGTTCTGATGAGCTCGAGTTGAACTTCACCTTACAAGACGTGCTTAAGCCATTTCCACAACAGTTCCAATCTCGATTCGACTTGGTTCACGTACGACTTTTTATCTTCGCTCTTCGAGAACCAGATGTAAAACTGGCATTGGAGAACATGCTTGCTATTATAAGTAATCAAAGCCAACCCAATATTGTTTATCGAAACAATCAAGACGCACATACTAACGTTTCTTCCATATAGAGCCCGGTGGGTATATGTACTGGGAGGACTGCAATTGGGTCACAGTCAAAGAAACATCTGGCCTTCCCGGAGGTATGGCAATCCTGGAAGCTATATCTAGCAATATGCGGAACAGGGGCCTCTCTCTCCAGTATGTTGGATCATCCACCTTGACATCAAGAATCCAAAGGAAAATCCTGACTTCAGCTAGGATCCTTGATGTTGTTGACAGATTTGCTCTGGAAAATGGTCTCCGTAGAATTTCTGATGCCAACTACGACTCTGAGGATTTCCCCGACATGGGTGTGTTTGATGATTTTGTCTCCCCTGCGGTGGAAGGAGTCTTACGAATGTTATCGACGACAAGCTCAGACAATCGGGGTGAGCTGAATGACCTTCTCAATCTCCATCAGAGATTGATTGAGCAGGGCAAGCTGCACTGGAAAGTCATTTTTGCAGCAATTATCTATCAAACGCCCATTACCAGTCCGATTGGAGGCGTAACAATACTGCCTGGCAAGGTATGAGAAATCTATCAGGTGCAAAAATGAAAGTTGAAGAGCCGATTCTATTCACAAAGACTGGCAAAATGATAGGAACAATCGTAGGAAAGTAGTAGTTATCCCTTGGCAGTTATCTCGTTTCTTACGAGTGGTTTGATCGATCATTTCTTTATATCTCACCATACCGCTATAGTCCTAAAAGATTGCACTAATACTAAGCCAAGAGGTATTTTGACCTAAATTACGTGGTGGACAGGCCGTCTGGATTTATGAACCTCAACGATTTCTAAGAATATGTGGCGATGGCTATCGAGGCTCTAGGACACGAAGACAGAGGATATTCCCTTTTATGAGACCTTCCATGAGACACATTCAAGGTATCAATTTCATATACAGTGGCTGGCTCGATCAGTCTCCCAGACAGCCACTGCACTCTTGATACCCTTTATGCCCCCAAAGGCAACTGTTTAGTTGGTGACATCGCAGTTGAGAAAAGCCGCTTAAGAACAACGTTAGTAATCCACTCTTTCCTTGGAAATAATGGAGAACTTACACTTGGAAAAGAAAGCATAGCTCTCAGCATTTTCAAGAGCGGAAGAAGAGCTCAAACCATGGACTGCCTCATAGCCATACGTCTCGGGACCGTAGATGCCTTTGGTATGCGCCAGCTCATGCAAGCTAGAAGTGGCCTGGTCCAGCTTACTACAGCTGTTCGACCAGGGAGGGAACTTAGTGAAATACGCAGGGCAGGTCCGGATTCTTCCGTAGGTTCCGTCTGTCTCACCGTAGGCAGTCATAGTGAAAGAGTGATTGTCAACGCACTGGATGCCCTCCGGAGTGCAATAGTAGCTTACGACACCTTGGTTCCCGTCCCTGGCCTCCGTGGCAATCTTTTCCAAGACCCCCGCAACGCGATTGCGGGACTGGGCGTCGGTGGTCTTGAAGAAGCTCTGGAAAAGGCTGTTCGAGTAGTCGGATTCGCTGCGGATGAGGCTGGCGCCTGCACTGGCCATCTTTGCAGCCTGGGCAAGTGCGTTGTTGATCATTTGCACTCTCTCACCATTGCAGTTTTCAAGGGTGGCGCGCATGTTGAGAGGATTGGCGACAGCACCTGCTATCAGAGGGAGAGCGATAAGGGCCTGGAAGACATGCATTTTCAAGGTAATGGAGATAGAAGTCGAACGACAGTATAAAGATCGAATATGAAGTAATAAATAAGTAGCAACCACCAGGGCGTTCTCTGAAAAATACTCTAGGGAGCTAGAACATAATGGTCAACCAAGGGGAAGAATATCAACGGGCGATCGGCCTTGATCCTTTTATATCAGCTCAAGGGGACCTAATAGTCTGTCTTTGACAGGAACAGCCGCGGCCGCTTCATCATGTTTCAGTAATATATCTCTTGATCGTCGCCCCATATTTCACTTTAGTACGTGCTAATAGATACGTTAGAAGGCAGCAACTAATTCACACCGACCCACCGGCCCCATACTGAAGTTGTGCCGAGTGGAACTTATGTTGTAGACAGAACCTTCAACGGGTTAGGGAATTACTTGTTCCTGCATCTTCTACTCCGTAGTCGTAGTCTTCTTCGGCTGTGTTGCATCCCCTGTTCTGTAACACTCACGATAGCAGCCAAGTCTTTCAAGAACCGTGGCCCCACCATACCATAGACCAGCCTTTCAGGGCATGGGAGCTCTGGATTAGAATAAAGCACTCCTTCTGGACTTCCTATGTAATCACCTAGATCACTGCTTGGCTAAGAGGAACAAGATCTATCCCGAGCTTCAGGGATAGGCAAGTTAATTTACAAATTTGAGACAAGGAACTAGCTCGTCTTCGTTGAATGGGGATTCTTGCCGGGAATGGAAAATAGGCCATATGTTGTACTCTACAATATAGATTGGCACTTTATTTAAAACCATCATTGACTACGGAGTACGGAGTCCGGAATATGGAGTGAAGAACGACTTGGGGTGTGCCAGTCTGAAACAGTCCATTTAGAGTTTTGTAGCGTATTCGCTCCTGGAGATCTTTTGCAAAAGTCTCAGACCATTTCCACTCGCTTTTCCCGCGGGATACTCTCCGTTAAATGACCTATCTATTCGGATACATGGATACGGAAGATGTTGCACGTAGAACCCTATGGCATATGGGAGAGACATCTGGATGGGTAGTTCCTAAATTTGTCCGATTACTATCACACAGCATGCTTCTCGTCAATCCAAAACAATGCTCTGTTCCGGGAAACCTTACTCCACTAGTTTTCCCAACGGAATAATAGGCACGAAGACCCATAGCGCTCGGGGTTGGGACCTCCTGGTTCTTTTGTTCATCTCATCACTCAGGATCTAAACTTGACAAGTTTGCTCATCAATGACTGTACAAATTTCCGGGCCAATCATCCTGTCTATACTATAAAGGGTTTTCAGTTTTATTTTTCATCCTTTTTGCGCGGCTGTTGACCTTTGAAAGGCCTAACCTTGGTCAGGCGTCGGAAACAATGTCAGCACAATTATCACAAGAAGAAGTGGCATGTCCCCACTTTGCTATGACCTATTTTGACAGCTATGAGAATATTTGCCAAATGGGCTCTGAGTCTATTGCAGAGAGTTGCCGAACTATCCTTTCTCCCCGGGTTACGGGTGGATTCCTAAGAGCAGTGACAATGTCGGGAAATTCCAACGCAGCACAACCATATTGTAGGATCACATCCAGACTACTATGTAGGTTGGGTCTAGGTTTTACTAGGTCGCGTGCAAGACTACGCATGGAATAGACAGCCCTAGAGTGCATACTGAATCACATACCATCTCTCATATAGTCACCTGACTATCCTACAGTGGTGGGCTATATAATCCATCTTACTAGCCCATTCCCACTCACTTTTCTACATAACTCTTACTACTTCAATACCATCATTGTATTATATCATCCTTATGATCTTATGGTCTCCTGTAGACTCAAACATCTCGGACGACATCATGGACATCCTTAATGATCTTGACCCATCGCCAATCTCCCTGGCATCCTCGACTGGAACATCAATTACCCTCCCCTGGGCTATGTCAGAGAGCGGTCAGCTGATCGCACAACTTGGAACAGGTTGCCATTTAGGCAAACTCCAGAGCAACAATGCTGTGGCGCCCTTCGAGACACAACCTGCCATATCTGCCGGCACATTCCGGGAGAATATCCGCTTTCGCAACGAAGTTGGGGCCAAATCATCCTTCCACAAGGCTATTACATTTAGTCAAGCAAATAAATCGGACCATATGATCATGTCGGCGGAAGTTTCGGCGGGCTGTGAATTTGCCAATGTTAGTGGGAGCGGGACATATAATAGAAGTGTCATGGAGAACATGGATGTGATTTAATTTGCTGGCGTCTGTCACTATGATCTATGCTAACACCGAGCAGGACATGAAGGGGTCTGTTCAGTCTACTATTCGGACCGGGGTGATTTATTTCGACCAACCCAGGCTTTCTTTAGATGCTATTGCTGATATACGACGCTCTAAGAGAGACCGGGTCTACTTTTCCCAGCAATACGGGGATTACTACGTGGCGAGTCTGCGTCTGGGCGCTGATGCTGGCCTCCTCGCCTCGGTCTCAACCAAGAATCGGTCCGAGTCCGAGAGCTTGGAGGTCAAAGCTAAACTACATGTATTATGGTGGGATATCGAAAAGAGTTACAATGAGGAACACCATGCTCACGAGGCTTGGTCTGTGTTCGATATTACTGCGTTTGAAACATTGAGTGGGTTAAATGTTCAAAGTGGAGCTTTGCAGCAAGACCCCCAGACGGTGGCTTGGAACTACATCCAGGGAGTGAGCAATTTGGAGAAAAGCGTCAGGGATAAAATGAGCGAACTGGGTTTGGAGGAAGACAAATCCTTGACGCATGAGGATGTCCAGAAGATTTGAGTATCTGGACTTGTTGTTGAGATTACCTTACTCCCTTATACGCAGATACGAGACTATACGACTACTTTGATTGAGCACGATTGAGAGCTTAATCTTGCAAATCGCATAGAATTTCTGGGTCGTGCGACCCTTGAGAAGACAAACAAACAATTTTCACACTTTAACCCTACCACCTCCATCTCACATTTCGAGTTTCCTTGCTCTTCAATCCGTAACTCCTTGGGTCTGACAATGATTGGTCGTTCGCCAACAGATTCATGGTTCTGGATCATCGATAGGTACCCCAATCTATAACGGTCAGAGCCCAACGCGATCTGTAGTGGAGGTGACTTACTGGCATGTAGAGCTGGAATATCAAAGGACATTGACAAGGCATATCACGGTCGCCGCCGGCCAGTTTTGGATTTTTGGTAATAGCATCAACCTGTTTAACAACTTAGACATGCTTCAGGGTAGGTTTGCAAATTCTCATCATACCTCTTCAACAATGAGATTCATCTGACTGCGGACATAATGCCGCGCCCTCTCCAGGCTAACGAGTGTCGCATCCATGGGCTCAGTAATGTGTTTCCACTTCAGTGTATCTCCTGGGCTTTTGTCCAGGTCACCCCCGGCGCCTGTACCGAACTTGTTCACTGGATTTGAGCCTGGGAGGATCTGAACCCCTCCCGACTTATCTAATTATAGTGTCAATCCATATATTTATGCTAGGGACATTTCTGAGAGACTTACCACTGAAAGTGCTTTTCTTAAGCTTTCTGACCCCATTAACAACGTCAACTTCCAAAAGCCGAATGTTCTTGTAAACATTCTTGAAATCAAGGAATGCATCCTGCAATGTCGATGTATAAATCCCTGCATTATCGTAGCAGAGGGGCAGATTCCTGGTATCAGTCTCGCCTTCTTTTCTTTCCGCTTTGACTTTCGAATAATAGTTCTTAAGAGAAGTGTACTTCGTCAAAACGGCATGAGTTCGCACTGGATTTTTTGCGACCAGTGATGGGAACCGGAGGGCGGCCTTTCTGATGTTTTCCAAGTTCCAGTCTTCGTCCGCTACTCACAGTTAGAATGTGATGTCAGGAAGGACGCAGGATAACATACGCTCCTTGAGTCCCTGGCCACCACCCGAGTATGTGATAGAAAGAGTCACCTCATTCTCCTGGAAGATTTCCATCCTCTCCTTCTCAACCTGCGCATTGCCCTTTAGTTCCAGACCATTGGTGCCCTTTCCACTCTCCTTTCTCTCGGTCTCTCCATTTTCCTCCTCGTGTTCGTCGGGCTTTGGTTTAGGTTCTTGCTTGTGCTTGCCTTGCCCACCCCCAAATTCCGGGGTCGTTAAAGACACTGCAGCACTGTAAAATGATCAGATATGCACACTCAAACTCCTGCATTTCACGTACCTGGCAGCAATGGTCTCCTTCTGATTCTTGTCTTTCACTTTGATGGAAATAACCGCGACGAACTCACCACCTTCCTGAAAGTCTTTTGCAATATGTAAGTACATACTCCCCCTCAATCTATCTGGATGGGATTCTGGTTCAATACCTGAGATGAAGCTATCACCATATATCTCAGTGAAATCAGACGATGAGTCCAGGTTCGCGATAGGAGTGAATTCGGTCAACCCCTGATCTACAATGGTTTCATTAATGACCTTGACACTGAGAAGGAAGTTGATATCAGCGTCCTTGATCTTGTTGGAATTGATGAATGTTCCCTTGCCAGTCCCGTCGATGAGATTGTTGTACTTGATAGTGAGAGCACCGCTGATCTAAATCAATTGTTTTATGAGTAACAATCCATTACGACTTGGAAAACCTCACATACGTTCAGGGTATCGGTAATATCTGACATCTTATCGATCATGCTGGTTTTGAACACCACTGACTGGGATTGGCTCTTTCCAAGACCTTGGTCAAAAGGCGTGCCATTCGGACTTTTGGTAACAGCGTCATCAACACACACTTGCTGCGTGTATGTGTTAAAGCCTGGTGCTCGTCAACGTTGTCCATCTCCGTATAGCAAACCCAGACAAGTCCTACCTGAGCCAAGCTTCATGCCACTGTGGTAAGGGGCGAGAAGCAAACCATGCTAGCCCTTACACTCTACACGGACATCTTCTTCCGATTACTCCTAAGTCCGGAGTTACCGACCTTTTCATAGAAGTATACATAGTGTAGTATGCCATGAACTACATCTTTAACCTCAGTGGCACTTACTCCGTGCACTGTTATAGATTTTATCACATCTGTTTACACATCTTATTAGTCATAGCTCTGTAAAAGATCCCTATGCACCTTTTTCGTAGGTTATGATGAATCCAAGCTTTTGCTGATCTAGAGCGGTGTGGTCGTCCCTTCACGAGTCATCGGCTGAAAATGGGCGTGTAGCTGAAATGCCCCATGCTCACAAGCATCATTTAGCCGAAGTATCCACCTAAGCGTAACCAAAAATATGCAATGAGGCTAGCGGCAATATGCTTATGATTATCAATGCTATCAAGAGAAAGGAAGGTAGTATGAGGTATGTGTATTTTCCTTGCGTTTCAGCTGAGAATTTTTGGTGAGAATAAGGGATGGGATCCGACAGTGCTTTGCAAGGTTAGCGGTCTGTGGTATATGTTGTATAGTAGACATCACGTTACACCACATCAGTCCGAATCATCACATTGACCCGCCTAATGGAGTCCCAAGCTGAAAGATCTACCTTGATCGGCTTACACCAAAAGCGGGACGCTAGGGTCGTGATGAAAGTGGAGCACCCGTGAACCCTTATGCACGCCACAAACTCCTTTTTTTTGTAATAATACCAATACCATTTATTAGTAATCATTAATCACTATGTAGTATATGCAGTTTACACCCTTTTAGTTGTAATTAATTGTATTATACTTGGAAAAGTGTGCACAGTATTGACTATCGGTGGCGTGCATGCATTAGCGTCCCTTCCCATGTCCCTTCCCGCCCGAGCTATCGTGGGAGGGTACGAGCTAGGTGTGTCCCTTGCGTGAGTAGCGACCTAGGCTTTTTTTTTCGTCACTCTTATGCTTATAACATTACTGTGTCTTCCATCATGTTATGTATCTCTTTTGGCAGGGGCTTACAATATCTGGTTTTCTCGTTCAATCAATCGATCCCTTTTCGCAATGAGTTTACAGACAGCACCATACGATGATTCTATGCGCATTGGTTCTGGGTAAGGTCTCATCACTCTCAGCAGACACAGTATATTAATAGTGTAGATTTAACTCATATACCCAACAGCTATGCATAGATAATGCGGTCGTTAACGACGACAAAGGCTTAGCAACCGAGAAAGACTTGAAGCCCAAGCTGCCTGAGACGAACGGCGATGGCGTCAGCCAGCAGGTCACGTTCACATCAAAATTTGTTGAGAATTCCAGTGATATCACAGAAGCTATGAACGTTAGCGGTAAGCTCTTTGGCTGATTCCTGCGCAGGGTGGAGATTTACCGACGCCTCATGAGGTCACTTGGAGATCAAGTGGAATGGAGTGGGAGTCAGTGGCAGCGGCTGTAAGTACACTACCTTATTTCAGCCGTCGGAGATATATCTAATGATAAATCATAGCGTATATCGACTCTTCCAAGGTCAAAGACAGCGACATCAGCTACTTTGTTCAGGTTAAAGTGATCAACCAACAACTCATTGCGGAAGACCTCACCAGATTCAATGCGATCGCCAATGTCTCCCCAACTGATCGAAGTCGGTTCACCGAAATCTATGGGGACAGCTTTGTCTCCGGATTCTTGGAGGGGGGAGAGTTCAATGCTTTGTTGTCAGTCAAAGTGGCTGATAAAAGCAAAGTGAAAGAGATAAAAGGCGCTCTGAGTTTGAGTCTCGAGAAAGGGGGATTTGGTATCTCGGGTTCAGCCGAAGGAGAATATGATACCGAAGAAATCTTGAAAAATTCGGAGACATCCATCACGTAAGAAAGTCATTATGCTACAGGCCTATACTTGCTAATCGCAGTTGGCACAGCGTTTCATGGGCAGGTGGTAGTGGTCATCACAATGGGACGCCCGAAAATAAAGGATGGACTATCGAGAGCATGGCGAAAGCTGCATTTTCATTTGCGGACCGAGTCCGGGCTTGTCCACAACGAACTCAGTAAGCTCGAGCTTTGTGAGAGTCTGGCTGAATACTAATCTTGCAGGGCCATCCTTACCAAGTATTCTGCTCTGCGATCCTACCAACTTCAAACTAACAAGGGATCTCCATTGGACTATGAGAATGCCGGCGTCTACACAAACGCCTTGTTGGAATTTTACATGGAGTACAAATCAATTGCGAAGGACATCCAGAAAAGTAGGATTTCCTGTCTAATAATCTTCAACCATGCTGACTGCCATAGTGACTCAAGAGGTTTCAGACGGGGTGAGCAATTTGGTAGAGTTACCTGCTGGTCAGGCAGCCGCAGAAGCAATCAAACAACTAAAAATTGACTACGCGGCCATCATAAATGCAGGGAAATCAGGTGATTCGAGCGATTGAGAAGTGACAGGTGCAGGCTTTCCACATATTCCAGAACAGGCATACACGCCGAACCTCTTTAGCCTGGAGACAGCCCGCCTTCACTGTCGACTTCAAATGGTTCGCATCGTCAAAGAGGTACGCAGCATGCACAGATATGACCAACCTTCCAAGACTGGGATGTTTCCTCAATCATCACTGACTTTATATATTTACTCAGGTGGATGCAGTTGCGGAAGATCCAGAGGTTGCTGTGGATCCTCATCGCGTCGGACAGTTCCTCAATCCCATGATCTTCCGACAGCTCCTACCGGTATGTTACCAATATACTCAACTTCTTCTGACCAGGCTAAGCATAAAAATTACAGGGCATAGAGCCCCGTCCATCAGAACAAGAACTGAAGGACATGCAACGGCAAATCACCGAGCTCGAGTGCCAGCTTGACACAGAAGTCAAGAACGGTTCGACGACAATGGAAACAGTGGCCAATTTGCAAAAGCAGCTCGAAGGGCTTAAGACAAATTCTGGAACATCAGAGCAACTGAAAGAAGTGGAACGGCAAATCACCGAGCTCCAGTGCCAGCTTGACACAGAAGTCAAAAACGGTTCGACAACAATGGAGAGAGTGGCTGGTTTACAAAAGAAATCCGAAGAACTTGGGGATAAGCTTGACTCTCATGGAAATTTACCGTACGTCGCTAACCTAGTGCTAGAGGATGCGAACGTAAAAGTATAACATTTACTGACCGTTCAATAGGTGGAATCTGTTCCGTATGATGATTGGTGACAAGTTCTTGGTTCGAAACCCAACTAAAGGCTTTGATCTGTGAGGAAGCCTATACTATTCGCTAACATCGAAATCAACCTCGTGCTGACAAAGTAAAGTACATCCTCACTTTACGAAGCTACTGTGTGGATAGTGCGCCTTTGGCAGGTCGGTGTATATACCATCAGCGATGAGGGGACAAGCGAACCTCGTATCTATTTATATCATTAAGGTGAGAAACCCCTCTATTGAAAGGATCTTACAGCCTAACATGACGCTATTAAAGATGATTCGAAAGAAAAGGATGGCATTTATTGCGACTTTTTCCAGGACAACTTTTCTACATGGAAATTACAGTACGATGGAAATTCTGAATATAGGTTTGTTTGGCAAAGATCTCGAAGCCCACCTATTAGCTCGCTAATCCTAGCTCTATATATAGGTACAAAATTTTGACCGGCAGATATTCTTGGGATATAGGTCTTAACAAAGATGGTATACTTTGCCGCAATTCGGCAGAGAATACCAGCCGCGTGGCTTCGAACTTGTGGAAATTTATCCCAGCAACAAGTGTTCAATTGCAATCTATTTGATTTGAGAGAGGAGAAAATTTGATCCTCTACAAACAAACAGTTAGCTAGGTGAGGCCTAATAACCTTGGCATCAAGCATGTGATAACTAACTAACTAGTTAGCTAGTTACCACAGCACTATTCTACTACACCTACCACCACAATGTGGTTACCGCTTCAAAACTGTTAGGTAGCGATGCTCTGGTGTCTTAGACAGCTATCTTTAGATAAAGTAGATTGGTTCAAGACATTGAATCCCTCTCAATACAACTTTCTCCCTCCACATCTCCTAGACCTACTAGATGTAGGCCCATCAAAAGCATTTGAAGTCGTTTTCTAGGTATGAAGATGACCGTGCCCCATATACGACAATGTATTAGACCAATAAGAAGCACCAGTCATGTCACTATCGATATAGGAGAACAAACGTGCTGTTTTCCACCAATTGAGCATTGAATGCCAAGATAAGAAGCCGTATATCGAACTTCGGATGCAGTTTCAACCCGTTGGCCCTTCGCACCATAGTAGTATAATGACCGCAATTTAGAGGCGGCATTGCGAAGGTGTATAACGGCCAGGATCAAATGCCTGGCGGTACCGTAGAGTTTTGTACGCGGAATAGCAACTTTGAATTCATATTTATTTGACCCCAAGGTTGGGAAAGTGACTAAAGACCGAATGCACCTTGTGTAGTTGTCAATTCCAACTAAGCGAAAAGGTAGGGCATATTAGACAAGAAAGTCCCTTTGGCCCTTCAATGCTTTCGCTAAAACTTCCGGGTACCATCGTTGTCCAACATCTTGGTGACTGGTCACCCGAGCAATGAAAGTACCCTGGCCAATGCTCCCATGAAATATGTCGTTGAAAGTTGCTTCTGCATCCGATTTCACCATGTCATTCTTCACCAATCCACGGATATGAAGTGGGAGATCCAAACAGATCTTATCGGCGGAAAGATCGAGGCTCACTCCCTGGAAAACAGGGAAGGAAAATCTAGGTCCTAAAGAGCCGGTACCGTGTTGGAAGTTCTCTGGCCGTAGGCTTACACGGTGAGTGGTTGCCGTGCAGATCCCCCCGGTTAGAGCCTCCAATGAGCGACCAATGTTTATAACCAATGTTCCCGGGATAGGCGGTGCAGAAATCCATTCCCCCGTTTTATTTTGAACCTCGAGGCCATGGTGCGGTGTTCCCTGCAAAAGGAATGTAAGGAATCCGGAGTCTTTATGAGGGCCAACACCTTGAAATCCGGACTCCTCATTGCTGGCTCTAGGTGGGGGAGGGTATTTGATCAACTTCAGTTTATGTTGCTGCGGGTTGTCAAAGACTTGATCGAATGCACTGGAAGGAAGGTCTAAGGCGTCTGCAATAAGCGCTGGAAACAAGTCTGCTAGGCTGCTCACTTCAGACAGGTAACTGTCCAATGATTCACGAAAACCAGGGATTGCGGTTTCATCTGGCCACTGACAGGTGACTTTTATAAGCATCGACAGAATTTGTTACAGAATATAAAATCTTACCTGGTTAGGACCAACCACATTCCTATACAAAGGCTCATTTGGCCCTGGCGCAGGGAGCTCGGTTGCGAACTGATGAATGTGAGTAGACTTTTCAATAAATAAGGCCCGAACTTACATCAAATTGTTCGCGATGGTCAGGTTTCAAGGCCGTAATTTCTGCACCAAGCCTTGTATAACCTAAAAAGTGCGGGCTATTGACCATTTCAATCTCAAGCTTTTTCTCTAGCGGGAGTTCGAAGAGATCTAAGGCCTTTTCTATAAATTGCTCTTGCGTTTCAACCGAAATAGGAGTATTTCGAAGATAGAAAAATCCAACATTCACAAGGGCCTCACGAAGGCTTGCTAGGAAGGTGGGCTTGGATGGGGATAACGCCTGAGAGAAGTCTAGAACAGGAATTGAAGTGAAAGATGAACCCGACTTGTAAGATCAGCCTAATTCAAGCATATGGATATAACAGATCCTACCATCGTGAAATGCGGATATGAAGTTGATAGAATTGGAGTTGATTCTCTTAGAAAATGGAAAAAAAAATACAACAATGGTCTGTTTTTGATTGGACTACGATGGCGAATATGTGCTGATGAGGCCATAACCCCGCAGTTCCAACTTCATACTCCGAACTTGTTCTGTCTATAAATCCTTTTTTCTCATAGAATATATCGGAATTCAACAGCCCGGGTTTCTAGGTCGGAATTTGAATGAACTCCTACGGGCTCAATCTCATCCAGCCTTTTGTTCATGTGAATATGCACGAGACGAATAACCAGAGCCACTAACGCCACTAGGAACGCTATTCCAGCGGTCGCACTTCCCCCTGAAATGTATCGGGGCCCTGAGGAGGATGGCCACATGTAACTACCATATATTGAAGCGGTATTTCCAATCATATTTGCAATAGCGATTGCTGCAGACCGTTTGACCAACGGCCGAGGAAAGGAATTGGCGACCCAGGCAATGATAATTTGATATGCAGACACTGCACCCATTGGCATCCTATTGACTGTCAGATATGTGAAAAACAATATAACTGTAGGTGACTTACAGAAACATAGCGAAAAATTTGGCACCAATGTTAGTTGTCACAGTGGCAACTACACCTCCAACCACACTGACCATCATCAAACAAATGATATGGAGGCTGCAATCGTTGGTTTTGCCAGATGTCCATGTCACCAGTAGCGAGATAAGGAAGGTAGCGATCCATACTGGTGCGGTGATCAGGAGGGTTTCCACATTCCCGTATCCGAGGGTCTGCACGATAGTCGGGAAGAAGTATTGGAAATTCTGTGACAGGAGGGAGGTATGCTGAAGCAAAATGAAAAGATAGATGCGCTTGTCTGCAAAAACCAACCCTAGGGCTTCCTTGATACTAGTTGAGCCGACCTCGTCAGCCTCTCCTGCGTCATGCATTAGACGCCACTGTGCATATGCTTGTTCCTGTTCGTCTAACCAGGGAGTCGAAGCTGGGTAATTTGGGAGAAAGATACTAAAGAGAGAGAGTCAGCCTTTTCAAAGAAAGTAGGAACCAATTATTGACAAGACTCACGCAGCGAGCACGGATATTCCCACAGTGATAACTCCTTCGATGATAAATAGCCATCTCCATCCGGCAATACCATGCACGCCGTCAAGATTGCCTAGCACACCTGCACCAATAAGACCGCCGAAAGCATTGGCCAACGAGCTACCAGAATAGAACCATGCAATACGATGACTCAACTAAGTGAATATGTTAGATATATTCCTTCCTTATTTTTTCTTAAAAAAAGAAGAAGAATTACCTCCTGTCGGGTATACCAACTCGACCTATACAAAGTAAATTAGCATCTTTCAAGTCAATGTTCTTCTTGCGCAACTGACATTAGCATGACAGCACCTGGGAAGAAAGGTGCTTCGACAAATCCAAGAAAGAATCGTGTCGCAATGAGGCCGGAATATGACTGAATGGCCGCCTGGCAAGCGGAAATCATACCCCTATGAAACGAATTAAGCACTCCAAAGATTGCTAATCTCCTGGAAATAGGTCATACCAGATGGCCATTGCAATACCCAGAAATAGTGAAGGCCGAACACGAGTGAGGAGTAGATTAGAAGGAAGTTGCATCAGTAGATAACCGACAAACAAGATACTCGTGGCAAGATTGTAATCGGTGCCTTCCATGCCAAGATCTTCTTCAAGTGTACCAAGACGGGCCTGTGATAAATTGCTAAAAAGAAAAAGCTCTATTAGGGTTCATGATCCTGTATAGCTTCCAGTGATACTTACTTTCTGTCCAGGAAGTTTAACAGATACATGAGAATAAGAAAGGGTAAAAGGTGCCAGTCTACCTTGCGAAGAAGTCGGTGTGTCATATTTTGATGCCATTCGGGACTTTTGGAAGCATAAGCTTGGTAAAGAGCATCCTGTTCTAGGATAAGTCCCTTGTTATCAGGTTTCTCCTGTTTCTCTGCTAGCTTTGTCATTCTTTTTCGTAATATTTGAAAAAAACAGATATATATTTTTCAACACGAGAAACGCTACACTCTCTGGGGGTCGCATAGATTATAACGAAAGTGGATGGCGCACATTGTGAATAGGTGGATCGGCACAACTCCGGAAATTGACCGGTACCCCAGAAATAAGGAAACAGAGAAACCAATAGCGACTTGGAAAGATAGTCTGAGATGTTTCGTTTGTATTGTCCTATTGGCTGTTGTAAAACAAGGGGTGTTTCGTTGACCCCGACGCGGGGAAGCACTTCGGGGTAGCTCATCCCAAGTGTTTCCCACAACCAAATATTCATTATCTTCATGATACTTTTCATAAAAGAGTCAGTCCGGGCTGATTGACTAGCATTTATGAGATATTTGTCCGTTACGTTATCATCCATGTCGGTTAATGTGTAGGAAGTGTAATGGAAACGATAGCTGGGTGTAGGTGCGGAGAAACACCGTGTGAGATTAGAATAGAGGTCATAACAAGTAACTTGCATTAGTTATAAACTATATTGATGCCTAGCTACCTTTGTGCCTCATTATACAGGTGTTATTTAATGCCTGACACAATCTTTTAATTCTATATGCGCTGACGTCACGATATTCGATCTAACTATTGGACTATGGACTAGAATCACCTTAGGAGAGATCGAGATCATCAATATGACCTCAGATGTGAGTTTACCTTCGAGTATGCCAATAAAGATGCATTAGAAATGAGTTCTGCGGAGGCAAACTCATATTTATGATGATCCGAGTTCGGCAATGACGATAGCATTCGATTCTACAGCGAATCATTCGTTCAGAAAGCGCTAAATATCATAGAAAAAATGGGGAATACGTTGTAATAGATATATGAACAGATTACTATAAAACGGCAGTTCATCCAGGTGGTTTCTACATCTTTTACATCCCCAGCAACCTCCTCTACATTTTCACATACCTATCATTACTACATAGTATTCCACAATGGACAAAATCCAAGGACTCGCTTCCAAGCTTGGAGGTGGCAAGGGCCAGGAATTCATTGACAAGGGTCAGTTTCACTGTCTAACCCCTCGTTAGACTTCAAACTAATGGCAACAGGTGTTGGTGCCGCCGAAAAGAAGTTTGGCGGCGGCGGTGACGGCGGTGACCCTGCGAAGAAGGTGACTGATACAGGCCGTGAGCAGTTGGATAAGGCTGGGTATGATTTCCCGATGGCATTTCCCTGAAGGCTGTGCTAATTATACATACAGAAAGGACATCCCCAACAAGTTCTCTCAGTAAGCGCATGAAGATTGGCTATTCTCTATAGCGCTTGAAGGCAAATGATAGCCATAGAACCAGAATATGATTGAATAATGAGTAATATTTCGAAGAAGGAAGCACCGTATATTTAACATAAAACTCAATATCGCTGCAAGTTGGACAAAAAGTCCCCTAACCCTGCCCCTAGGCCGCGACGTGTGTACATGGTGTTTGCCCGACACAGTTGAAGCTGAGCATTAATACGCTCGTTCGCTGCTGAGTCGGTCCCACGCATGTTCGCTACCAGACGCTCATAGTACTTCTGTGCCGGTTCGTACTCGTTAGCGTTGAAGTGTAAATTCGCCAGCAGCTCCAATGTGGCTTGCGTTTCTGGATTGTCTTTGCCTTTGCGATGTTCGACCCAGTTTAGATATCGTATCAGCCAGGGAAAGGCTTCCGCGGCACGATTGTTGGCGAGTAAACCCGAAACATAGCCATTTTGCAAAGCATACATGACGCCAATGTTGCCCACGATATCCATCGTCAACGGATGATCGTGCCCCAAGGATTCCTCTGCACTGGCCAGAGCCCGACGCAGGGTCTCCGAGGCTTCCATGCTCTGCTGCATAAAGCTTTGCGCTCGGCCGTGGAGAGAGAGAGCTCGAATGGTAAGCGGGTGGCCATGTCCCAAGGCGGCCCGAAGCTCTTGGTAGACTTGTACCAGCACCTCTAAGGCTTGCTGTACGTCGGGCTGAAAACGCATCACAATTAGGGTAGTGGCGTTCCCAGATTGATTGCTAACAATATATTCTAATCCATCCAGCACAGAGTTGAATACACGAATGTGGGTTTCTCCGAGCAGACGTTTCAGGCTGTCAGTCAGCTTCTCTGCAGTCATGACAGCATTTTCCCGGCGACCTAGCGCATTGTAGGTCATTCCTAGTCGGCGTCTAGTTTCACAAATATCCAAGTGGTCTTCGCCGATAGTCATTTGCTGGCGGGCTAACACGTTGGCGCAGACCGACTCGGCCTCTTGATACTTGCCCTGTTGACACAGAACCTCTGCGGCCAAACTTTCCGTCTTCATTGTCAGAGGATGCTTTGTCCCAAAGACGCGTTGGGCGTTCTCTGATACCCAACGACACCACTCATTTGATTTCTCCAAATAGTTGGTCTCCAGTTCCACTTCTGCTAGGTTGTATGCCACCGATAGTGTACTGAAATGGTCCGGACCAAGCGTACGCAAATGCTCCTGGAAAATCTCATATTCGACGGTTCGGGCTTCGTCCCATAGTCCACGATTCTTGAATTCTGCAGAGCGAACCGATCGTGGATCATTATCCAGAGGGTTAAACATCACTCCTGTCACCCTTTGTGCTGAAGGAGATGGGCGAGCTTGGTATGGCGTGCTACTATTTGAATGAATACGTGGTGGCACTGGTGGTGGAGAGGACGCGGCACTCGGAGGCATCGATTGTGGAATAAAGCCTTGGTCTGCCAAAAGTGCATGATCAACCAACTGCTTGATGTTTCCTTTGATCAAACGATACATAGCACCCCGAGTGCCCACCTTGCACATCTGCGAATGATCTGCGTCAAGTTTAAGTTGGGTTTCGCGTAAACCGGACAATCCAAGAACCGCAGACTCTTCATCAACAACCAGCTTGTTTCAGTCAGCTTCGGCTTTAGACAAGAAAGGAAATCACTTACATGGCTGATCGCTCCCCGCGCCATCTGCACCGCCTTCCCTTCTATGAAGCTAACAACACGATAATCTTCCAGTTGATGTCGAAACCGCTCTGACATTTGCCGCGTGAAAAGTGAATTCTTTTCCAGGCAGTCGAGAAGGTCATTGTTGGCATGGCCTTTGGAGACAAAGCGGGCAACCCCGGCTGCGATTTTACCCAGCTCCACAGCCTTCGCGCCACGGTGAGGTGTCCCAAAAAAGACAAGACCAGAAGTTGCAGAACGAATAGAAGTATATTTTGGATCTTCTTTGGCATTGAGAAGTGCCTATATCAGCTGTTAGTAGAGAGAAAAAGAAAGGATTATATTATATCTCACCTGTTTAATCACTAACCCTCCTAAACTATGTCCGATAAATATCACTTTCGGGGGAACAGAGCCCTGTGAAATGTAAATTCCCATCCAAATAAGGCCTACTCATATACTTACCATTTGGGGTCCGCGTTCCATGTCCAATAAATTCAACAGAGTATTCGCGTGGTCTTTGATACTTGCTGTGGACATGGTTTGTGGTTGAGTGATATTTGAATTGTATCCGTAGACAAAGATCCGTGCATATGGAATATCTTCGGCCAGGAAGTCTCTCGGCCAAAAATTGCCATTGCTATGCGTCCATGTCTGGAAAGGATGATCGTTTCGACCGCTTGGGTTCAGGCCATGAACGAAGACAAAACTAAACGGTTAGAAAGTTCCCTTCCAGGGGGACATAGGGCTTACATACTCGACTTTATGCGATTCAACGGGAGTAAAGACCTCTTGCAAAAAGGGAAACTCATACTCTCCCGTATCCTAGACTTTGTTTAGAAGTTGGCATATGCAAAAAAGAGACAGTCTTACCATTCTCAATAAGACGTTGAAACAGATACAACAAATCAATATAGTGTCAAAGATCAGAAGAAAAGAGGGAGAGACCTCGGGAGAGAGAGAGAGAGAGAGAGATTGGGATAAAAACAAATGACAAGCTGACTGCTCGCCTGATAGCCAGTGCTTGGCGTGAATACATTGGAAACATCTGGAGGTAATCACTAACCAATCAGATAGAAATAACAAGTTCGGTAAAAATTACCCTATACAGATCTTTAGTACATATCCTGGTGGCGTTAGACGCTGTCAGCGGGGTTATCCGGCGCGATGCATCACACCTGAGCACACTTATCGTATTGGTGGAGTGTTTCAATTGATGCCCCGTCATAAGGAAAACCAATAGTAGTTTCCTTCTCACGCCCGATGCCGGTCCCCATCTCGCTCAGCCCCCTCCTGCAAGGCTAGGTTTTGCAAGCATGGGGCATAAAACAGGCTTCCACACCATGCTCCGTGTGCAGTTCGTGATGCAACTAACATCCACAATAGCAAAACCGCACCACTTAAGGTCTTTAGATAGTTAGTACGTATTCATTTGAACAGAAACAGGGAGCACACACGGTACCGAGAACTTTGAAGAACATAATGTCCATTTCAAGCCCCAATTCCATTGTATTTGCGGCATACACCCCAAGCGGAAAAGTAAATCCCCACCAGCCCATATTGAAAGGAAATGGAGAGCTATATAGAACGGTGGCTAGGGCAAACACGAGCCAAATTAAGCCAAAGCTCCACATGAGGAGGGATATGAGGACCCCCAAGACATATGCCATCTGGCCTGCGATAGGGTCCAGGAATCGGGAATCCTGCAGCAACACCCGTGCGACTTTGCCAATATATAGGATACTACGGAGTAGTAGCGTGTTAGTTAAACAGTCAGGGCTCTAAGGGAAAGAAGCGATAGGCCTACCCGAACCCACCAAATCCAAGAGGACCCAGGGGTAAAAAGCAGCTCACAACCAGTTCCCTCGATGGAAGCTTGTGCACTGCTAGTCGCTGGTAATATATTACCAATACCGCAATTGCTAATGGGGTGCCCATACCCCAGAGAATGAACGAGGCGAGAAGTGTACCCATCGCATGTTGTTTATTTGGTAGAATGATAGCAACCTCTGCGCCAGTACCAGCTGCCACGATAGTTGCTGCGATTGGTAATAGTTGAACCGCAGTAATCCGATCTAGTGCGGTAATATAGCGTTGAGATATTCTGATCAGATGTCAGTATCCCAAGCATTAGGTTGTGTAGGATTTCGGACTGACAAGATGAAGGATAGGGACAGAGTCACAGAAGTTGCGGCTACCACGTCGATGATCCACAAAGTCCACGCAACTGTTTTGGCCCATTCACCCCATAATGGCACACAAATGAACACCCACATTTCGATAATTGTAGCAAAGCCCATTGGGATTGTCGCCAAGAATAGCGAATTGGTTGGATCTTGGATCATCACATTCCATATCTCAGGATACAAGACGTATCGGAGAACAGAAGTAATAAAAGCTAGAGTAAACAACACGATATTGAGTAGGAAGAAGACAATCGACAAGTAATAGAGAACTGGGCTATCGAAAGGTACCGATATCATCAACACCGAAACGATGCCAGTTCCCATAGTCACCGCAAACCATCTGTATATTTCCATCAGCATATAGAACAGTATCCGGAGGGGGAAACCATACGATGGACTGAAATTTCGTACGATGCGTCTCCATCCTACATTGTATTTCACTGGACCTTTAGCACGTATTTTAGATATTTTCGCCATTGAACATGAAGAATTCACAAAATGTCAAGAATAATCAGAAGGGGGAAAAAACGGAGGGATTTTGTAGATCAAGGCCGAGTCGGCCGAGTGCGCAAGTCGCCAAGATGTTCTCTACACCCTTACAATCACGAGCTACTAAATTTATACACATAAATTAATTCTCGTCTGCGAATATCAAATAAACTGAGGAGATTAACTATATATCCCAGAGATGGAGCTAGTTTGCATTATAAGACAGAACAAACCACTAAACCACTGGCCATCCGCTTGAGAAATTGATCTGATTCCACCCAAAGCGTTTCTGGCTGTCAGAATATCCCACAGTGGTGTCAACATAGTGGTAGTAAAGCACTGGACCCAGGCTAGGATCAGTATACACGCCCCTGAGAAACGTTAGGCCAATATTCCAGTTTCTAATCCAATTTAAGAACTTACTGTCCACCAGGACCATAGACTGTGCCATGACTTTCCAAAACAACGGTGCCACCTCCGTTGGTACAAGCGATACCTGCTTTGTCGACCTTTGATAGGGAAAGAGTCAGCGCAGTCCAAGGTAGCAAAAGTATTGGATAACATACAAATCCGCTAGTAGGGGAAGTCGATCGGCAAACCTTGATTTTATATTCCGCTCCGCTGGCGGGGCGAGATGTGTCGTAGCCACAACAGATACCGGCAGAGAAAAAGAGATAGTAGTAACTTCCATACTGATACATATAGGGCCCCTCTACAGCATGTGTTCCGGAGGGGTCATACGCCAGATTGTGGGACGAAGATGCGACTTTAGTGGCATCCGATCGCATTGGAGCCTGGTAGATATCGTGCCAAAAGGAGCCGAAATTCATATAGTAAGTACCATCTGCTTTGAATAAATTGCCATCAATAGCATTGTAAGCACTGGCAGATGATGAGGCAATACCAGTTCTTCCACGATCAGTCCAGGAGCCGAACTCCATGGTCGCAGATGTGGCTAGTCCAAGGGCCGAATTCTGAGAACCAAACGTCGACACAGAGTAATAAACATGGTAAAGACCATTCACGAGATGGACATCGGGGGCCTAACAGAAAAGTCAGTGCTGGGTTTCATTGTAGTTTGACAAAAGCATCATACCCATAGGTCGTCTTTTCCAGCGAGATCAATAGATGATCCACTAGGCAACATGGACCCAATGGTAGTCCACGGGCCTTTGATAGATGGGGCGCTCGCATAGGAAATCTTGTTGCCAGTAGAAAATCGGAAATAACGATTGTCCGATGATCTTTGTATCAATGTTGGGTCATGTACAACGCAGGCCCCAGAACAACTCCCAGGGTTCGCATATCCATGCACGAAGGCTGCGAACAGCACCGGCTTGACTATATTACCTAAATGCATTGTGTATGTTGAAGAGCGGCATATCTTAGCGGGCTCTCATAGCTATATATATGGCAAGGTGATGATTATTGGTGGAAATCCGGACATTTTTCTAGGGCGCGGGCAGTCTTCTCCGAACACAGTCGGAAACACAGAGAGGGGAAGAACGCAAAAAGCGGAGTGACAATTCTTCAGGAAATGAAGAATCAGAGCGCCGACTGGTGGGAATTGCCAAATATAAGCGCCATGTAAAACACGCCAATTTCCGGGGGATCCTCTTTTAAAAAGTATGTGTTAATATCTCGTATCCTTTAAATCCTTGAAATCTTAGGGCTCGGTTTATATAAATATTCATAACAAGCCAGCCATGACTCGTGTCAATGCCTCATCCTCGGCATGAAAGGCGTCCAGCGCAGGCGATCGCGTGTCACCTGGAGGAGCCAACGCCACATTTGCTCCGACAGCGCTGTCCAAGCCGGTTTGAGGGTCAAAATAAAATCCACCTGCAATCTCAAAAAAGCTGCTCAAGTCTTCGCAGACATTGGATTGAGGACCATCTACTGTACCAGGTGACATTGGCCAGAAAGTGTTCGATGAGAGCTGAGTAGTTGTCCCAGATGTTTGATGGAGGCTGGGGGTACAATTTGCAGCGGCAGACTCTGTGGTTGATACCGGCGTCGTATCCCATATGCCGGGGTACAAAGATGTAGCACGCGAATGAGGCTCTTTCCCCTTGAAATCTGCCTTTGTGGGATGACCTCCAGACTGTCGGCCAGCTTCCCACCTCAGGTTCAACTGTTTCAAACTGTGAAGGATCTTTTGCAATCTCCGGGAAGTACGGGCGCGGGTTGCCGACCGGCGAACCATGTCCACAGCTGTGTAAAATTCGGGCCGGCAAGCATGGCTGAAACGCGCCGGGGCATGTAAAACGGCCAAGAAGAGGGCAGCGAGGGCAGACAAGAGAAAATAGTTGAATGGCTCCGGGCGCTGGAAATATATACTTGAGACTCGGCTAAAATAGTCCAACATATGAACGGTGCTCTTCGCCGTTTCCACGGCGGTCGATGCACCGGTCACATTGTCCGCTATCCGCTCATCGCTGAGCAAGTTTTGTCGATACACAAGAATTCGAAGTTGGTTTGCCTGTAGAGCAAGAAGCACCTGAAGCATCATAGCTCGATCGGTCTGCTCTGATGCAGCCGGATCAAACCGCAATTCACGAGGAATAGAATGAATCCATTGCTGAACCTGAGCGTCCAAGTAAGCGCAACCATCTGTTGTGGCCGCCTGTGACCGGTTGGGCCATCCAACGACCAGGCCCCATATCTTTGTGCTCAGGCGTGCGTGAGAGATCATGCAAGTCAGGTACGGAGTAGAGTGGCCCGGCTCAGGCAAGTTGGTGTCAATATCAGAATCTTGAATGGCGAATGGCAGCCCGGTGCCAAAGGCACACTTGCGATCTAACACATAGATGCACCAGAACAGTCGGCTTGCCCACGTCCATTCCAATTCGCCCGGGAAAACCCCTCCCGTCTTTTGCCATGTTTCTTGACGATGAAGACCGAGCTCCGTACTCCCTCGAACTGCCATGCCAATCAAACGCCCGGCGATGACTTCATCATCGCGGTAAGAGTGAAAAATCGACTACTACAATCAGTAAACCTCAAAAAAAAAAAAAAAAAAAAAAAAACAGGATTATACACACCAACAGAGTCAGAATCAGAATTTCTTTCATATCCACCTCCGCAATTTTCAATCGGCTAGCGAAGCGATCCTCCACACTATCAGCCAACTGAGCGGCACGCTCGCTGCGACCATGCGATTCGACTAGTAGAGCGGTCGCCAGCAGAATCTTCAGGACTTGGACATCGCGTGCAGAAAACCAATCCTGATCCGAGGCTGTCTGCATCGACAAAACAGACGAAGACGCTGTGGTTGAATCCTGAGAGCGATAGAACTCGAGGACGTATGCTCGCACTCCATCCAAGTCGACACAAGGGTACATTACACCGACTGTATCCTCATAGACCTGCACTAAACGTAAGGTTTCATCTACCCCCAGGCTATTCCCAAGAGCATTTTCGCCTCTATCCGAAGGCGCAGGACTGGGGGCAGTTGTTGATAGGTCACCGGGGTGGTCAATAGTACAGTCGCCAGCTTGGGATAACGACTTTCGGGTGAGCCCAAACTCGGCACTCGTAGGTCCGACATACGTTGGAGACCTAGGAGCATCTAGAATACGGTGCAGACCAGTTAGTGGGGGCGAGGCAGGAGTGGATTCAAGTTCATGAACACGAGCGGAAAGGGTCCGCATTTCCCGCCGAAGTGTCTCCAATTGTCTATCCACAGCTTGAAATCGGACATTTTCTCTGGATACAGTTAGTAAAAGCATCCCCATTAGACAATGACTGGATGTAACTAGAATCTCGGCAGGCGTACCTTTCATCCTTGCTGGTCTCGTGGATCGTGCTAGAGGGACGACTGGTGTAGACACAAGGGATCTGATCACGAGAACATCTCACACAGACCAAGCCACCACTACATTTCAGCTTGCGTCGTTTGCATTCATTACTAGGGTGGTCAGTATCAACGGTAGAACCAAAGATAAATGGACGCACCAAGCCACCTGAGTATATTTAGCCCTTTTTCGAGATGAATCCTGAGATTCGGAAACCATTCTCGAGGAGTTGAAGAGGGAAACCTCGGAAATCGGAAAGATAAACCGAGACCCCGTGACCTGAAGTATATAATTCAAATGTTTTAACTTAGTTAACTTAGTTAGCAAGTGAATACTTTTCATTTATTCATATACAAAAACTATTTATCTCCTTAATGCGTTGATACAATCTTGTGCTCTCTTATTAAATGTGCGACTTCCGACAGCATTCCGAGTCAGCCAGCCGTGATGATACATTCTTGTTCGAAGGCACATCAAGCGACGGGTTGGCCACAAAGAAGTCCGCGGGTCGGATCATGAGTTGAAAAATCTCAACGGGCCTATAATAGGTTAGTATGAAGGAAGAAAGAAAAAGAAAAAGAACTTACATCACAGGCCAATCCTCTACACGAGGATTGTGGGTAATGCCAAAGGAATTCCAAACCACCACGTCGGTATCAACGACAGAGTCACCCCGAAGAACAGCATCCGAGACACCTTCAACTTCAATTTGACTCTGCAAAGTATAACGACCTCCAGCATACAGCTCCCCGTCGCGATACTTCGTGACCCAAACGTGGTGTTGAGCAAATTGAGCCCGGCGCGCCTGCACCGATGCAGGATCGGCTAATAGAGTCTGAGTGGCCAGCGGGATAAACTTATAACCCACGGGGTTTCCACTGATAGGATTCTTTATATGGGGATTGATCATCTTGATGGTCCGATTGAGCTGCGGAGCGGCATCGATCCAAGATGCACGCTCTACGGTCTGCTTGGTGACTTGATAGAAATTTCCGTTGGGGTTGGTAACGGCATTCATTGGGACTGGATGAGATTCCTCTACCACCACAGAGTTGTTGGGGCCATCGATGGCTGGATCAATGCGGATATTGAAAATGTGCTGGTGGTTCTGGGCGAGAACACCACCACTCACTACATTTCCATAATCACTGACCTTACCAGAATCAATATTGACAACGTTCAAGATACCGGTTGCGCGTGCTTCGACTGTAATTCCGCCTGACTGATCAAATTTATAGGCGAAGATGTATTCGTAGTTGGCCAGCGTGATGATAAACTGGACGACAAGCTCCCGGTTCCGCGTAACGACCGCACGGCCAGTGCGCCAGTTAGAATGCTTCCAGCCAATTCCATTGTCTTGTTCATGGAGGCAAATCGCATTCGGAAGGATCTGGGCGGTTCCGTCTGCCTGGGTGATAATGGCATCGAAATATTTAATGACTCCAAGACAGTCACAGCCGAGCGAGAGGTTGTTAGCCATATTCCCGCCGCCTCCGTCACCAAAATCAAAGGCTTGTTTTCGGTGGAAAGGTGGTCGAGGATCAGCGTAGGGGACGGTCTAAATTAACAATTAGTTCATAGCCTAGGATTTTGGAAGATATATCATTTACCATTTCACTGATTGCCAGCCGGTGCATCACACTACGGCCGTCATACGAGACGTCGTGAATCGTTGCGCCTTCTCGTGGATTAAAAGCAACACGGAACCGCCACTTCTGCCATTCCACAAGAGACTCGTTGGTGACTCGGAAGGACGGACCCTCAGGCTGGACCACATTCAGTGGTTTGAGATCCTTTCGAGTCCCCTCGGGCATCAGCTCTGGCACATATTCGGACGGCTTGCAGTGGCCAATGATATCCCGTTTGAAGGTCTGTTCAAGTAGACCATCGCCTTTACCGCCGGTGGCGGGTCGATCTACCCGGATAATTTCTTGTGTGTGGGCATCCATCACGGGAATGATGGGCAAGGGAAAAGAATAGAAATTGGAATCTTCATTCCCAGAACGTTTGTCCTGAGCAAAACAAAGGCCTTGGAAAAACCGACGGTTTTCATCGGTATGATCCAAGCCACCATACGGCCATGGCTCAATAACGACCTCGAAACCTTCAGGAAGATCGAATTCCGACAGTGCTTTCTGAAACAAAGGTGATTTCATACATTGGTCGACGAGCACATCAAACTCACTCCTGGTCAAGCATTAGTAAACTTCTGGGTTTCAGGGCTTTGGTCTCGTACAGAGTCAAACTGGCGTGGTGTTCCTTCCCCACCACTGTGTGTTTCACTCGCGACTGTGAAACCACATCAATCACAGATTCGTGAAACTGAGGAATACGGTCCACTCCAATCACATCGTATTGACACAGCGCTAAACGCGGGGGTCGTGGGGTAGTTGGGCTCAAGCGACCGGCATGTTCAACCGCTAGAAATTCCTGGAGTTGAGCTTTGGGTGGTTCTTGTAGGAAGATCTCCCGAAAGTCAATTACCACATTTGGATGAGCAGCTTTGACCACATCACGGGCCAAATTGGTTTCTTCAATGGAGAGAATGCTAAGTGGATGAGACATGACTAGAGAAAAATTATATGGCCTTTCCTCGGACTAACTGAGGATGTGAGCGCAACTTATATTACTCGGAATCTCGGAATCTCGGAATGATATCGGGGGGTTTCTTATAAATCCGGAAATGGTTCCGTGATGATAGGCAAAGATGGACATAAATTCCATGAAAATGCGGGGAAATTTAATGAAAGATCCCTGAAGATAAGCAATACGAGCTTGTCTTAATTACCTTCTACATATATGGACGGAGTTGATAGCCTGTGCGGATTTATGGCCGTGTACGAGTATTGACTATACCATATATCCCCGTCATTTCCCCTCTTATAGAGAGGTACATATAGAAGATGGTATCTCCCCTCTTGATACCAAAATATTTATATTTTCTTATCTACAGTCTTGTAACTAGTGTGGACTATGGATTCCATTTTAAACCATGAGACTAAAGCTCCCATCCCAGAGAAACCCATCAGCGATGAAGACCAACTTGCAGCTCTTGGTCATATTCAAGAGCTCCGTCGTGATTTTTCCATATGGTCAATTGTTTGTCTCCAAATCTCCTTAATGGCCACCTGGGAGGCCTTATCCTCGGTTGTCGCTACGGCTCTTACCAATGGTGGAGCACCATGTTTGTTTTATAACTAGTGAGTCCCTCTCCGCGATACTCGCGTATGCGAAGGCTAATCAAGTGACCACCTTAGTGTCATTGCCTTGATTGGTACAATGTTCATTGTCCTTTCGTTGAGCGAAATTGCCTCTATCTACCCTACTGCTGGCGGTAAGATCGAATTAACCTCCTTCATGTACCTACCCTGATGCCCCGATCTAGGACAATACCACTGGGTTCACTGTCTTACACCAGCATCCTACCGAGCTACCGCATCTTGGTTCACCGGTTGGATTTCAATTGGTGGACAGTTGGTATTTTCCGCTTCCGCAGCTTTCGCGGCGGGTTTGCAGCTACAGGCACTCATCACACTGAACCATCTCGACTCATATACCCCAAATAGATGGCAAGGGATGCTTTTCTATTGGTTAATATTAGCTTACTCCACTGTCCTCAATATTTGGGGTTCCAAGGTCTTGCCTCACACCAATACAACAGCCGGTAAGACAACAATCTCCTAAACATTTTATGATCCATCTTCTGAATCATGAATAGGCATATTGCACGTCGTTGGATTTCTCGCAATCGTTATCGTTCTAGGAGCAATGTCCGGGAAGCATTCTGCAAGTTACGTCTTCGTCGAATTCTCCAATACCAGCGGATGGGATAATGATGGGGTTTCTTGGTTAGTGGGACTACTGAGCACTGTATATCCTTTTCTTGGGTACGATTCTACCCTGTAAACTTGATTTGGGTTGAAAGCTAATTGTTTATTCTAGATATGATGCAGCATGCCATTTAAGCGAAGAAATGCCCAAGCCGTCCCGTAATGTACCACTGGCCATGATAGGCAGTGTCATCATTAACGGAGTGATCGGTCTGGTGTATGCGATCGTCCTATTGTTCTCCCTGGGAGATTTAGAATCACTACTTCAGTCCCAAACGGGATTTCCCTTCATGCAACTCTTTTTAAACATCACTGGCTCCCGGGCTGGTGCCTCCGTTCTAACCCTATGCATCACCTTGATTGCAATGGCTGCAAATGCTGCATGTGTGACATCTACTAGCCGTACAGCTTGGGCATTTGCACGGGATGATGGTTTGCCAGCGTCGAAATTCTTTGCGGAAGTCAACACTACATTAAAAGTTCCAGTGCGCATGGTCCTCGTGGTTGGCTTTCTCCAAATGCTGCTTGGGTTGATCTATCTCGGCAGCTCAACCGCGTTCAATGCGGTGTTATCCATGGCTATCTTGGGAATGTATGCCTCGTATCTTTCCCCAATTGTGTTCATGTTGATATATGGTCGACGAATATCCGCACCGATAGCCCGCGAACTTGGCTCAGGATCATTCAACCTAGGGCCACGACGGGGCCCCATTGTGAACATCGTTGCCATCCTTTGGCTCATCATAGCAATGACTTTCAGTACTTTTCCAACGCTACAGCCGGTCACACCTGAAAATATGAATTATTGTATCGTGGTGACAATGGGGTGGATGCTAATAGGAGGACTTTATTATTATCTCCTTGGAGGAAAGAAACGATTTACAGGTCCAGTGGTAGAGCTGACAGTGGGCTTGTAACTACCGATAGCTGAGTTTTGGAAGTGAGAATAGAGTATCCACTATGAACAGTTTGAAATTGTGGTTTCCTACGGCATTTACTTAATTTCGAACATCGTTTTAAACCACGAAGTCTTTGGCTGTCTGTTGTTCCGGGTAGATGGCATTGCAACTGTTGTGTTAGGATTGAGTGTACCCCGCGATAAGTAAAATGGGAAGTGTAACATTAGGCAAGAGTGAAATTCTTAGGGCTTAGTATTTTAGTACAGGATACGTACAGAAATTAGGGAAATATAAGAAGTTAACAAATTGAGAGGTTGAGAAGTTGAAATCAAAATAGACCAAGGCCCGAATGTCTTGGCGTCTCTCCACTCATCTCCTCTTCCTTCTCTCCACTCTTCTTCTCTCCAAAACACCCGTGGACATCCTCTTCTCCAAGATGCCACGCGCCGTCCGAGGTATTTCAAAACCAAATTCTTGATTTCTAAATCACTTGCTAATTTTTTTTTTATCCTTGGCAGGTCTACTAATCGAATGCGATCCCTCGATCAAATCCATGATCTTGAAGTACGATGAAGAACGACATGACTACATAGTGGAGGATCTGGATGACGAGAACCATCTGGTCATCAAGGAGAGCCAGCTGCAGAATCTCAAGGTTCGCCTGGATCAGGTATCTACCCTATCTTAAGGGATTCAGATCCATTTCTCACAGATTTGGCAGGACCTTGACGAAAAGATCATGCAACTGGATGAATCTGAATCTGAATAGATCAGAGCTATGTTGCACTGACCATGGGGCCTCAACATACGCAAAGCAAGGCCAACCCATCCAAATCCACCATGAACTAGCCCCGTCTCCCGCCACCTGTTACCCGTACGCGGTGATTGAATGCAGTACGATCGCTGATCCATCCAACCCGATAAGTACTCGGTCACTATGAGAACGCTCGCAATGATAGTGTGTCGTTTTATCTCAGACAGGAGGGATGAAGACTGCAACCCCTTTGCTTTTATAGCTCCGAGCTGTGGTAACAGAATGAGATGTCACGTGATCGGGGAAGTCATCCGAGGCATTGGAGAAACCATTAATCCGACATAGGTAACCATGGGACACATCAAGGATATGTATATAGTGTAGCATGTCACTACACTCAATGACACGTACATTCTTACTACAGTCGATTACAACATTATTCTAAGGTTGCATATGGCAATAGTCACGATCATGTCAGACACTCTAGCGAATGCTGGAAGCAGCGAATCTGGTTTCTATCTCGGTATGGCATCGGTATATATAAGTCATGGCCTCCTCGGGTGTTCCTCCCAATAGGAAATCTCAGATTCAATACAAAATCACTTTCGATTTACACAACCTCCGTCATGTCTCTTCTTCGTGCCAACTTCCCCGGCTCTGGTGGCGACTTCGCTCCTCTGTTCCGTCTTCTTGATGACTACGATGATCACCGCTCTTCCCGCAACCAGTCCGCGGTTCGCTCATTCTCTCCTCGCTTTGACATCCGTGAGAGTGAAGATGCATACCACTTCGATGGTGAACTGCCTGGAATTTCTCAGAAGGACATCGATATCGAGTTCTCCGACCCCCAGACTCTGGTTGTCAAGGGCCACACCGAACGCGAGTACCACACCTCCGAGCCAGGTGAGGCCAAGGAAGGTGCTAAGAAGTCCGATGAATCCAAGCCCACTCACCGGTTCTGGGCCAGCGAGCGCTCAGTTGGCGAGTTCCAGCGCGTTTTCTCTTTCCCGACTCCTGTCGACCAGCACAATGTCAAGGCCAGTCTGAAGAACGGCATCTTGGCCATCCAGGTACCCAAGGCTAGTGCTACCGCTTCCAAGAAGATCACTATTGAGTGAACATTCCACGGATATATTGCATGGAACTGGTCTTTTTCTACTTTTCATGTGTGCCATATCGTCTCCAATCCTTTTGGATATGTGTAGAATTCTTTTTAAGTCTCATAATATACCGGAGCCGGCACATGCAAATCCCAAATTTCATACACAAAATATAATATTGAGGTATAAGTTTTAGAAATGAAATTGCATTTACAATTAAACAGGTGATCAGGTAAGGCATTCAGGATATTCAAGGTGTTCGCGGCATTCAAGGCATTCAGTGTTGACATTCAGATGTTCCCCACGTTTTGCCGAGGTCCCCGGTGTCCGACCCTTTTATACTCTCTTTCTCTCCCTCAAACTCCAGAAACATTCATATCTCTACCTAGTCCAATATGGCTGACTACTCTTTTGAATATTTTACCGTGCAATTTCCCACCGAGCATCAATATGTGGCCCATGTGGAAATCAATCGTCCGGAAAGGCTAAACGCCTTCATCGAAGTGTGAGCGCTAATTTCCCTCAGACTGTTTAATTGTTTCTAAAGAAATTTAGTATGTGGGAAAATATGGCCCAGATCTTCAATAGACTATCCACAGATCCTCGCGTTCGCGCAATCGTTCTCAGTGGTGCTGGAGCAAAGGCATTCACTACCGGGCTAGATGTCAAAGCGGCCTCGGAAGGACTTCTCTCGTCAGACACCAAGACTGATCCAGCACGAAAGGCGGTCGTTTTTCGTCGCCATATCACCACTTTCCAGGACTGTATCACCGCAGTAGAGCGCTGTGAAAAACCCGTCGTTGTTGCTCTTCACGGGTTCTCATTGGGACTCGGCGTTGACCTGTCAACGGCAACGGATGTGCGTCTCTGTGCCAAGGATACACGATTTGGAGTCAAGGAAGTCGATATCGGGCTCGCAGCAGACATCGGCACCCTGAGCCGACTCCCTAAGGTGGTTGGAAATTACGGATGGGTAAAGGAGGTAGCTCTGACAGCGCGCGAGTTCGGTGCTGAGGAGGCGCTACGTGTGGGATTCGTTAACGCGGTGTATGATAACCGTGAAGCAACTATTGTGGCTGCATTGAAGCTCGCCTCTGTGATGGCCAGCAAGAGCCCCGTGGCCGTGCAAGGTACCAAGGAGATCTTGAACTACTCGCGCGATCACTCTGTGCAAGATGGACTACGCTATACGAGTGTATGGAATAGCGCTGCTTTGCAGACGCAGGATGTCTCGGCAGCTCTACTGTCTGGGTTGCAAAAGCGCACTCCAACATTCGAGAAGTTGTGATGCAATTATTCCATAGAACACCATGTGCTACTTACTTTGTATATACTCTATTTAGGATAATTCCGTTTTACCACAAAAGACTTGTTCCAAAGTCCGTGTCCTATGCAAATCGTTTATTTTACCCGAGTTTCCATGAATCAGAAGTATCGATCAACATATCTCCGCATTCTATCCTGCATATCAGCATCTGCTTTTCTCCGGATGAAACTCGAGAGCGACATAATGGCCGTGTATACCCCGCGGAGGGTCTCACTTCTTTTTTCCACGTATCCAGACCATTGCTTGGTATAGGTTGAAAATGTATATTTTTGATGAAGCTGCCGGTTCTATAGAGAACATCTAAACATTTATCTTATATTGTCACCATGAAATCTACTATTCTTCTCTCGCTCATCCCGAGTGCACTGAGTACGACCATCTACCTTGCTGGTGACTCGACTATGGCAAAGAGTGGGACTGGATCTGGGACAGCAGGTATTTCTCCTCAAGCCTCTGGGGATAACATGCTAATCCTCGTAGGATGGGGTGAATATGTTACGCCATATACCTCACTCACCGTGTCCAATAAAGCTGTCGCCGGCCGTAGCGCACGGTCATATACACGTGAGGGTCGGTTCGATGCTATTGCAGCATTGGTTCAGTCTGGAGACTGGGTGATCATCGAATTCGGGCACAATGACGGTGGTTCTCTGACTCCCACCGATAATGGGCGTACCGACTGTGCTGGCACAGGAAGCGAGACCTGTAGCACAACATACAACGGGGTTGCCGAGACAGTGTTGACATTCCCGGCATATGTAGAGAATGCCACCAAGGTGTTCAAGGCCAAGGGCGCAAATGTGATCATCTCGAGCCAAACACCCAACAACCCCTGGGAAAGTGGAACCTTCACTTATGCCCCGTCGCGGTTTGTGGGTTATGCGCAGGTAGCAGCTGTAGCCGCAGGTGTACCCTATGTTGACCACGGTGCTTATGTGGCAGATCGATTCAGGCAGTTAGGCATGGCTGCTGTCGATGCATACTTCCCCTTAGATCACACGCACACTAGTGCTGCCGGTGCATCGGTAGTGGCCCAGGCCTTTTTCAAGGCTGTGGTTTGTGGGAATGTTGCTCTAAAGAGTTCTTTGAGCACTACCACTTTCCCAGGTTCATGTCTATAAGAGCGGAATTTAGGGCTCAATCTGAGCTTATGACTATAATTGATAATTGTGCCTGTAAAGCGAGCAGATTGGGTGGCCTCGGTAGGACTAGACCCAAGATTTGATGGCCAGGTGAATTCGTAAGATTTCGTAATATGTCCATAGCTAAAACACGAACGCTGAAATGCAAAAGCTGTCGTTCAAAAACTTTCTCATGCACATAAAATCCCGGTCCAATTTCATTCCTCTAGGACAGATCGAACGATACCTCGATTCTGGACTCGGTGATAATATTGATTCAGACTCGTAAACCGAGCATCCAATACACCCTGTGTCTGCACAATATCCCGCAGAACTGGCCATAGAGAGCAATCGTCGATGCTAAAAACGGAACCTCCTAGGTAATGTTGTCCCTGCAGAGTACGTTCCCAATCCTCAATCCCGTAATCAAATTCACTGGCTGAATTCGTGGCACGGTGTTGACGCCAGCGTGCCAGAAAGCCGTCAATCGCTGACAAGAAATTTCCCCCGCGCAACGAATCTCCACCTGGCCGTGACGCCTCGGGAGTTCGGTTGGCCGTGTAAGTTAAGATAGCAGAGTCACCTGCGACTGTTTCTCCATCAGGCGTTTCGTATATCGGGCATCCCGCGAGTTGTGTGGGCCCCTGCTCGTGACTGGTGATTAATTTGTACCGGATGCCGTTTTCCGCCAGACAAAGACGCACACGCAAATTGGCAACAAGATCACAACCAAGTAATAGTTGGCCTGCTGATGTTGTCACAAAGTTCACCACGTCAAAGCCCCTACCATACACGGCATCCCAATCGAATTCGGTGGCACGATTTTCCTGGCCAAAAGCCCCAATGAGGCGTGCTGTTTCAGCAGAATCCCCATGGATCACGGCGCGGGCCTGGTCCAATGTCTTGCTGACAGCGCCTTGTCCCCAGATTGTATTGGCCACCGGATCAATGAATGTCCCGATAAGACGGAAAGTAAGTGAAATGCGCTGGCCGCCGTAGGCTTGCTCCTCGGTGGATTTGGTTGCATTAGGTCGTTTATCCGCCCGGATACCATGAAGCCATCGCATGTTCGTCTTTGGGCCGAGCACAAAAAGTGAATTGTGCGGAAGGGGCACACGCTGCGTTGTCCGGCGTGGTTCAATGCCCCCTTCGGGTTCGGATGCCGAGGTCTTGGTACGGAGGACCATCACGCGCTCGGCGCCTAGACTGACATTGCAAATGAAAGATCCTCGCGCAATATCCAGCGTCTTATCTGAGTGCTCTGATATGCGATCCTGGCCATCGCGATAAAGTTGAATAAGTACATGATTCAAGGAGTGGCCCAGTATTTGCTCAACAGCCATACGCACTTCATCAACCGCGGGGGTGAATGGCTTGAAGGGTGGAGACTCGTCTGCCGGATGGCGATATATAGGTATGGCTCCATCGGATTGAGTTTGACCTTGGACCGCAACCAATCGGGGAACTTGACCCGACATGTGGTACATCTTCTGCCAATCTACCTCCGCTTGTATACGCTCAAAGCAATCTGTGGTCAGGTTGACATTGGTCACGAGGCGTGAGTCACCCTCCCCAATGTTGATTCGAGATTCCGCAGATTCTAAAGGTGTTGGCCCCTCGTCGGCGTCGACGCGAGATCCGGGTGAAGATTCTTTTAGGACATCTCGGCGCTTGGGACGACGGATGCGCGCTCGCACCTTTTTTTGCTCTTCCACTGGACCCCGCACCTGTGCGGCAGTAGCTCGCTGGGTGCGAGAAAGAGTAGCGAGTTCCGAAAGGCTCAGATCCTCTGTATCACGCGAGTTATCTGTGGGAGAGTTGTCGGTTGTATTCCAGAATTCTAGACCATCCATGACACTTTCGAGGTCAGCCGTACTTGCTGGTCCTGTGGGTTGCGGTGCGCCTTGACGAGCAATTGCCTCTGTTTCATCCCAATCTAGCTCCTGAATGAGCTCCGCAGCGGTGATACCAGTTGCTCCCAGAATATCCGCCATGCGTCGCATTGCTTCTTGATGCCGCTGAAAATCGCGGAATCCCAAGCAATCCTCCACAAGAGTTACCGAGAACCCGTTACGAACAGCATCCAAAGCGGTCGCAAACACGGAGATATTCGACAATGAGCCACAGAGGTACAACTCGGTCACAAAGTGTGTCCTAAAGGATAGTACAAGGCCAGGGGACTCCAAAGCGGAGTATCCTGTTTTGTCCACTACGGTGTCATGCTGGGAATTGATGGCGGCCAGAATCGGTGCGGGGAACTGATATCCTGGAGTACTTGGATCACAGCATGGTGAAGATTCGGTGGAGAGAAAGGCTTCAGGGTCGATAGGTTCTGGTGAATCACGGTCCGACCCAACTTCAATTATATCTGAAGTAGGCATCTGTTTTCTGCGAGGTGGTTCTCTATCCAGAACAATTCGATCACCAAAGTTCCAATCAACGATTCTCTGAGGGGATTCATATTGTGAGCGCACCCAAACTACATCACCGACTCTCCGGAATGCAGATGCCAGTTGTGGAAGAGTTTCGAGGAAATCTGGTGTATTAGGAATATGTAAAGCGCCGGAAGGACGAACGAAATCATTTTGAAAGTCAAGTAATAGTAAAGCCTTTCGAGTTTGAATAGTGGGTAGATCCCCGAATGAGAAGACACTCATCCTATAGACATGCTAACAGAAAGTAATTTGATATACAACAACGTGGGTGGGTGGTGGTGGGGGGGGGGGGGGTGGGGGGGGGGGGGGGGGGGGAAAATGTGTAGAAAAAGGAAAATATATTTGGCCTGAGGCATAAATGGTACTTTGGGAAGGAACGAGTCAAAAAAAAAAGCAAAAAAGGAAAGTACGAAGTCACGTGAAAATAAAAATAAGTCTGGACCTTCTTCAACCGCAGGACAGGACGCTTAAAATGGTCGATGCTCATAGGATACGACGAGAGCTGAATGGACTACTTGGCCAGGCCAGCTTTGTTACTCAATACTTTCAAGCAAAGGAGATTATAATTTCTCACTATAACTGCAAAAGCTCACTTGATTGTCTTTCGCATTTGTATCTACAACGCCGTCACGTGCGGCCATGTGATGGATGTCTGCTTCATTGGCAGTAGTAGATCTTGAGATAGCTGATACTATTACCTTCATTTCTTTGCTTAATTCGCCAACATATTCGAAAGACCTCTTACCATATAGATGACAGAAACCAGGTGGTCATGATTGATGACATGTATTAGGTCCTTGACTCCCTATTTACTTCTCGAATCTCGGTACCTCATGAAGCATGAGATATCTTATTTCAAACACAAACAACCCAAACTCCGAGCTTGTCAACCGATTGAAATGCCCCCCGTAAATGCACCGTTTCCCATCCCATAACATCGGGCTGAGGTTTCGTCAAGATCATATCAGTTCATTCATGGATCACCGCAGGAAACAGAAATGAGGAAGAATGGCAAATCGCCAGAAAACAGATTATTGAGGGTATACGTAGGAGAAACCTCCCAGGAAAAGTGGATGGATAGTATTTTCTATCGTCTTTCCAGCCGACTAAGTGCCCCCAGAATAAGACCCAAATCTTCCTTGATTCTCGGTGGTGGGTGTTCGTCATCTTCGCCTTCCATTGCGAGGAGACGTTGCGTGTTCTGCGCGTCGCGCTCTTCCAGTCGCTGTGAACAGATGCGCAATATTCGGGATGAAACGGCATCTGCGGAGGCTCGGTATAGTTCGATATCATGCACACCAGCTGCGAAGGTATCAAGCGTCGGTGCCAGCCCAGATGTGATACGTGATAATTGAGCAGAGACGGCAGATGGGGTGATAGGCGGTCGGGTTGAAGATGGGGTAGAGGATTCTCCCTCTGGTGGCTGATTCGAGGGATTGAGAGATTCTAGTATGGCTTGTTGTGAGGGATCGAGTAGAGAGGGATCGATTTCTTCGCGTTGTGATGTACGCGAAGATTGCTTATCTTTTTGTTGGTTGTCGGGTTGTGGTTCAGCCTTGAGGGCTGGGATCGCTGGCTGTCGGAGAAGCGCATTAAGAGATTGCCTTTCTTTGTGTAATCTGAGAGTTCGTTAGTCCTATACACTTGTAGCAACTCTCGATATGCTTACTTCTGTATATGCTCCTCTAATTCCTTGATCTTGTCTGTATTTTGCACGTTTCGTGGATTCGGCTTTTTGACAACCACGGCTGGAGGGTTCAGATCTTCGCGGCCAAGCCAGTTAGAAAGCTCCGAGTTGTTCGAGAAATCCTGAAGAAGCTCCTCTTGAATCACACGCGCTGGAAAAGGTCAGATAAACAATCCCTCTCACACAAGTCAAGGTTTCACGTACCTGCTAAGCGCGCACTTTGATCGTCCGAGTTTGAGCCTCCTGAGGGCTTTTCCCCTAATGCACGAGTCGCACACCAAATCAATAATTGTCGCATCCTTCGCGGCTCCGGGATATCGTCATCGGCGATGTGCTTGTAAAAATCTGCTGTACTAACTTCTCGATGGGGTAACGCTATACAGGAAAAAGATAGAAAGATCAGCATTCAGTCATTCATAGCACATGCCAGACCAAGAAACCTACCATTTGATGTCCCTGAGTCGATCAAAAAACTGGCCCTTCGTCCTCGCATACTCAAGCTGCTTCGCCGTCGCCCTTTATCGCTTTTATCACCCTTCCCGCCTCTGAACTCTTTATTGCGCTGAATCACCGGAGTATCGGCCACTGGAAGTGCCACCTTTGTTCCCTCAGGAGGTTTTGCTGGAGAATTATATCCATTTGACTCAGACACTTGCGCTTGCTGTTTAACTTTTGGTGGTCGTCCTGCTTTCTTCGATTTTTTTGCTTCAGTCTGGTGCTCTGGACTGTCGCGGGGCCGTGATGGGCGGTTCTTGTTTGTCGGTTGAGATTCAGGCTCTGTGTGTGTAGTCTTTGCGGTCCCCCTCGTAGGTCTCCTAGATGGAAGCTCCACGCTTTTTCCCTTTGCCGGCACCGCGCTTGAAGTGGTCTCATCGTCCGTTTGCTTTTTCCGTGGCCTGCCTCTTTTCGGTGTTGATTTTGGAAGCGCATTTTCCACGTCTGAATGGGGATTTTCGGGAACTACTTCGATTGACGGCCGGGACTTCTTTGATGGTAGCAGAGAGAACTGGAACCCTTCCGCGTCTTCCTCGTATGCCACTGAAGAGACGAATTAGAATATTTCTTTCAACCCTCTCTCAACGACTTTCACTCCAGCAAATTACTCACCAGCTGGCCGCTTCCCTAGCTTGTTTGTGTTTTTCTCGAGCTCTTGTTTACTTGTACTGAGTCGCGTAGTCTTCCGTTCTTTGGTTTTTCCAGTTCCACTTGACGCGGTCACAGAGCGCGATTGTGTCTTCGGAGCAGCCATTGCGATCGTCCCTAGCGATTCGCGACGCTTTGTCTTGGTCGTTGTAGTCGCCAGGACCGCGACTGTCATGTCAGGAGGGGTTCACGCGGGGTTGTTGTGGTCGGGATTAAACGTAGGGGTGGCGAAGCAAGCACCCCCGTTCCGGTATTGACTAGATGCTTTGCGGTCTCCTGTTCTCCAGTCGAATACCCCTGGTTGAAGAGGCTTCTTGGAAACACAACAAGCGCAACGCCTGGGTATGGACGCCGGACTCAAATTAATCCCCCCAAACAGCTGACCGAGCTCGATACGATGTCAACCCAGAGGGGTTTGTTGATCAATAGGTACTTGACGTGTATATGGCAAGGTTTGAGTTATCGGCTTCGCGGGATGTTAGGCGCGGGTCGCGTCCCAATTCAGAGCTGCAGCCGAAGAACAGCAGATTAGGCGACTTAGTCAACTCAATTAAAAAGACACGCAAGGGGAGCGGCAGGTTGGGGGGTGTGAGTGGGTTGGATTCTCGCACGCGGTTGTTTTGGTCGGGCGCGTGGGGACCGCGCTAGTCTCTTTTGAGATCGACCGTTATACTTACATTGATTTTCTACTTTGACTACTTCGACTACTTTGCTTTTACTACTTTTCATTCATTGAAAGTATTCAAACGCTGCTAATGTATGATTGGCTCTAAAATTGAACTCTCTCACATATCTTCTACACCCAATCCTCGCAATGCGCAGATGCTGCTAGATAAACGCTATGATGCTTTCACAAAAGGATACAACATTGAAATAACTCCCAACACCGATGTTGAAAAACAATATGTTCAGTGAGAAAGAGTGGTGGGAGTTGAGCCCTATCCACTCCAGTGAAATCAAAAGAAAGGCAGATCATTGGATCGACTTGAGTAAGGTGGAGGGATTGCTTGGTGGTGCCAGGCTGCCCTCGATGCGCCGCTTGGCTTCTTGCATCTCCTCGGCAGTTATATTCTCTGCCTTCTTGGGCATGTCAGGTTCGTACTGAGGAATATCTGGGCTGTGCCCGACCGACATGCCAACTCGGATCTAGAAAGAAGTGTTAGTATGCAATTGATCAAGTATGGGAGGGAAAAAAAGCTTTCGTCTCTTACCAAAGTTTCCAGTGCACCCTTGGAGTTGTCTGCCAGGTCCCTGTCAAAATTGACTTTGCCTTCTTCAAAGAGCAACAAAAGGGTGCTACCACCGAATTTGAAGTAGCCCAGCTCTTCGGCCCGTGAAACCTTCTCGCCGGCTTTGCGGGTGATGACCGTGCTGCCAACCATCATCGCACCAACACAGACAACCATGACTCGGCCATGTGCAATAGAGTCAATGGGAACGAGAATGCGGACATTTTCGCCGTAGACGTCCAAGGCGGATCGGATCGCCATTGGATTCACTGTATAGTACTCACCCTCGATGGTCTTGGGCTCACCCATGATTCCATCTACGGGGATGTGGAAGCGGTGGTAATCTTGAGGTGCCAGGCGGAACACTCCGAGAGCACCGTTTCGGTATCGAGCAGCATCCTCCGGGTAAGCGTTACCCAACAGTCTTTCAACTGAGAATTCACGACCCTTGACCCAGATGCTGGTTGCATCACTCAAGCGGTCAAAGGCCACTGAGCGACAGTCGGCGGGAGATACAACAATCCTAGGCTCATCGGGAGCAGAGCACGGGCGGGCGCCAGGCTTCAGAGCACGGTAGAAGAACTCGTTAAAATTGCGGAAATTTTCCAGGGGCATCAGGACTTCGGACATGTCCAGCTGGTGGAAATTGATAAAGTCGGCGATCTGAGATGCTGAGGCTGGGTCATCATATTTGCGACCCTGCTTGACACTCAAAGAGCGTAGCACACGGCGGACTGGTATGGTTTGTTAGCAAGATCTTTTTATCAGAGAGATACACTTCGGCTCAAGGTTACATACTTCGCTTCTTTTCCATATCACGGCTTTTAATGCCCTTGTACAGCAGCCGGATTCCAAGTCGCACATAAACACTCATGCGTTCCTCGTTG